AGCCCCAAAACCCTAAGCCCAAAACCCGGCGGCCTTGCCGTACTTCTCGGCGATGGGTCCAAAGCACTCGGCCATGCCGGACTCCATGCCCTTAAGGCCGCACCTCTGCCAATCATAGTGATCTCATAGTAAAACTAAAAGTTTAGGGTTTAGGATTAAGGGTTAGGGTTCAGGTTTTAAGGTTCAAGGTTTAGGGTTTAAGGTTCGGTAGGATTTCCGCACGAGGGCTCAGGATCCATGCCTTTAAGGCCGCACCTCTGCTGGTTTAAGGCTAGGTAGGGGTGCTACGAACCCTAAGTGTCACAGGCATATGTCTAACAAGGATATCTAAAATACGATAGGACTATGGAATGTTGAGTTACATGATTGTTAACTTGGTCTTGGTTTGAAAAAGAATTCCCACACAGGGGTTTAGGTTCCATGCTTTTAAGGCCACACCTCTGTGCAGGATTTCCCTGGGATTCCTCATATTCGCTGAGACGTTCCTCCCCAAAGATGTTGGATGCCCCCGCATCCAATCCAGGTGACTGCGGTGGCGCTTGACTGAAAAGCATTCTGGAATTGGTTCTCAGTTAGGAGGACCCCCACCCTGCAATAGTGGTGTAATGGGAATATAAGAGGACCCTAATCCAATCCGTATTATCCCGTATAGTCACTATTACTGGGTGGGGGTCCACCTAAGTTATCACTCATAAATGTCCGCCCCCTCCTCGATTCCCAAACAACATGAGAGAAATCTCTGCGAGTCTCCATACGAAGGAATAAGACCTCGTGATATTGCTCTTGGAAAGATATGACTGAGTCTCGAAGGCCTCTCCGAGGGAGCTCATGTAGTTCTAGAGATATGTCAAAAACTCAATCCGCAGCGCCGCAGCTACACCCGGAACCATTCTCGGCAAGCACAGGTATCGTAAAGATCGACAGAATGCAACCATAACTCTAGCACGGTGATAGGCAGAAGCGATTGCAGGAGAGCAGAACGGCAATGCATATGTGCCGCCTATTTTGCAGATACATTTGGGGATTTCCCAAAATTAGGGGTACCATTTTGGGGGTCCCAATAATAAGGACTATAATATATTCGAGTCTATATTGGGGTCCCCCTAATTTTGGGAAACTACCATTTGCATGTGGCCATGCCATGTCTGAGGGATAGTTCTTGGTAGTTGAGGAGCCTCAGCTCTTCTTGTTCTGAAGGCCCTAAACCCTAAACCCGACAAAAAAAAAACAGCTGGCCTTAAGGTGGACCTGGGGACACCTTGATTATATAGGGTTCAGGGATTTTACCCCAATAAGGGAAAATCAGATGGATAAGAACATTGCACTTGAAATGGAAGCCCTAGGTCCCTTGTAAAGGGTGATAGGGGCGCTTCTGCTCAATGGGCGGCCACTACTTTCTCTGATGCCCTGTGGAGAGAGAGCTCTAGCCAAAGCAGGTGTATCAGTCGTTGGGACTTCTTAATCTAGACCCCACCTCGCCAGTATCCAGCAGTTGATAACCATGAGCCTACGATCCGAAAACCCCCTACCAAAGCCTTGCTTTGACCTCATTTGGCTGTGTGAGATTGAGCCTGGGGCGATCCGAAGAAATCCTCAAGATGAGAACCAGGTACAGCAACTGTACAATAACTACCCATACAGAAACCAACAAGCCCACAAAATCGCCTCACTTCATGAACTTTCAAGATCCGATGCCCAGGCGCATGTAAATGTGAGTCTTCTCGTCCTGCATCAGCTCCCACAGCTCCTCAGCGTACCTGATTTCAGGAGCCTACCACTCTAACCCTAAACCCTAAATCCTAACTCTAAACCCCTAAACCCGAAGCCCTAAACCCTAAATCCTTAAGCCCTAAACCCCTAAACCCTAAGCCCTAAATCCTATTCCTAAACCCCCTAACCCCTGAGCCTACAGTACCCAAGTCCCAAGCCAGACTTCTTTTCAAAGTAACGGTCGCCTAGGCGCCAAAACATTCTTGATGACCTTAACATCTGCCAAGCTGCTAAGCCAGCTGGGGCCCTATATTCCACATATGTGTATACATATATATATATATATCTTGTATGGCCCATTAGGTGGAATAATTGCCAAGGACAACTACATGCATCCAATTCTTGGGATTCCGTGACTTCATGAAAGACGGCTAATGTCGAACACATATTCTGATTCCAAGTCAATTCACTGCGTGTAGGGCCCCATGACCTTCCTGGAAAGCCATATGCAGTCTCTTCTAGCGCAAACCAATAAGGATCAAACTCCTTTATTCTGCATGAACACAATGTTAAGCAAAAACATCAGATCCAAAGACAGCTGCTCAAGGGTGTGTAGTGTTTGAGGTTTGGGCGTAGGAGTATGGGATTCCCACTTGATTCTCTTTTTCCCTTCCATTTGAGAATCCATTACTCGGGGTAACATATTCCCTAAACCCCTTCTTCTATATCCTGTGATTTTTGCGCATGCCAGGCTGCTCTGCCATCTTCGTCTGGATGTACATCTTCTGGCCTGCGGCGTTCTTCTGCTCGCGGCTAATGGCGTAGTCGTAGCGGAACTGGTCCGGATACTTGGAGACGTACTCCTCCCCAAATTCACGTACTGGTTCTCAGTAGGGAATAAGGGAATGTATTGTATAGGTATGTTAGACGGATTACATTCCCATATTCCTTACCAACAACCAATAAGATGAAGAGGCTGGGATAGGTGTCAGTGGGGCTAAAGGCTTACGGCCAATGGCATCAAGGATGATTCAAACGCACAAAGGCTTCGGACTGTAGTCTTTGTTAGGGGCCTGCGAGCAGTTCTCATGGACACCCCCCTTAAGGTTCAAAGTTTGAACACCACCCTGTCCACCCCCCTCTCCACGCAGTGCCCAAGACGTATGAGCAGCAAAGATTTCACGTCTCGTAGTCAACAACCGCCGTATGAAACTTGTAGCCCCCGATGGCAAAAAGTGCCATGAACCTCAGCTCCCTGCAAATGCACACCTCTGCACAAATACTTTCTTTCTTCAAGAACTACAAACACAGTGGTCAAACAGTACATATACCTGTCAGCACAACTCTACATAACGACTCGTAACCCACAAGATCCAAGATGTTGAGAAGCTTTCATCACGCTGCACGCGCCTTCTAAAATCCCATGCCCAAGCCCTAAACCCCAAGCTCGAAGCCCAGAAACCAACAAGCTGCGCCGCTAGTGGTCCTGGTGCTCATCGTCATACAGCAAGGACTTGCTGTAAGGCACCTGACTCTCCGCTGCATGGTGCTCTTGCCTTTTAAGGCTTAGTTGTTTACAGATTAGGGGTCTCCAGGGACCCCAAACCAAGGCTCCTCGTAACATTGGGATGATAATATAGGATAATATGGGGTAGTATAGGTTATATAGGGATAATGGAAAACAACATGGAAACTATTATTGTGCGTTATATAGGGCTTTATATCCGAGAGCACATTTTGAGTAATATGCACTTGCCTGCTGCGGTCCTTTCGACGTAGACTTCTACCCAGAAACAAATACGTGAGCGAGTGGCGAGCAACTGAACTGCATGCACGGGCACTGGGATGCCAGAGGTTGACCTGGATTAGTACCGCTGCTTGAAATTCACGGGGGGCCTGCTTCAGCAAAGACTAGCCCTTCAAAGACTCTTGACAGCATCACCTCGAATACGCTGCTTGGGATACTCCAAGGCACGCCCATGAAGAGCCACGCAAGGCCCTTGAACTTGCGGCCATCGCCCTCTGCAGCCACCTTCAATACACGGGAAGTCCGTAGAATCAGGTTCCTTTGAACCGTTTCGTGTGCCCGGCTTTAGTATGTACGGGAACCGTCGACATGTTTCGAGGGAAAACCTTACGCTTTCAACCCAGAAAAACAAGTCACTTCAGCCCAGACATGAAAGCTGATCAGGACATACCCTTTGGCGTTGGGCGGTGCCACGAATCTTGTAAATTCTTTAAGTATCTTGCACCGTACGTGCAGTGTACCCAGTTTTTGGGCAGCCTTTGTCGTCGGGTGCTGGTTGTTTGAAGGACATGGGGGACAACTGCCGAGCTCCACCAGGAATGTGATACAGGACCTCGACTACAAACAACCTGTCAAGCAGTGCCAAACTCTTATAAACAGAAATGCCAAAGAATGTCTTATAGCTGATAGATAGTGATCCTTCAGAATTCTTCATGCTCCAACCCTGTGACTTTGCCCAGGAAGATGCCCAGTTTTCCGCCTTGTCGTTGAAGAGCAGCCGGCAGTACGCACGCATCGGTGCAATGCCCGTTCCTGGAAGAACATCAGATACAGATCTAGGCTTCGGAAGGCAAGCGTGAATGCATTGAAACAGTTTTGATGTCGTGTGGGCTCCCTGTTGCTCTTGTAGGGTCTCTAACACCCACGTCTTGCTCATTGAACTGCACACTCTTTACTAGCCCATGGCCTGTCGCCAGCATGACGATGTTGGCCTCGGGATCCTGCACCATCACTGTTTAGGGTTTGGGTGAGGGCCACATCTTCAGAAAGTGCCTGCCCCTCACATGTACCATTGTCTAAACTCCTAGTATCCCCCTTAATAACCCCTATAGTAGTCCCTTATATAATCCCCATATAACCCCCCTTTAAGGAGTTTAGGCTATGGCTCACATGCCCCCAAACTAAATCAGCATCAATTTTGAGAACTGCCCACAGGCCACATGCCGGTGATGCATTGGGAGCAAGGGCTCATATGGTTTTTTTCCCAAAAGTAGGGGTACCTTTTTGGGGGTCCCCATAATAAGGACCATAGTATATTTGGGTCTATATTCGGTCCCCTTATTTGGGGAAACTACCATATACCACAGCCAGCTATAAGATTGTCACATCTGTATAGCAGGGGGGGGGGGCAAATACAAGTACAAAATTACAGGTATTTACTGGAATTATGTAGGAATTCAAGAAGCCCTGATAACAACTTTCAGCTTCTCCGAACCCTAGACCCTGAAAACCAAACCTTAAAACCCTTGGCCCTAAAGCCCTATGTAGAATGTTGGCCTTGTGGGCTCTTTTTAAAGGGGTTTGGGCTATGATTTTACCACAAAAGTGTTCAGGTAGGCCCTAGGCCCTCAGTCAGCAAACCTAAGCCAAACATACAAACCTTGACGAGTAAGGGGCTTAGGGTTTTTAGGGTTTAAGGGTTTAGGGTTAACATGCAGACCCTGACGTGTAAGCTTTAATGACCTTCCATCCTATGCGACTCGGGGGATTTCCGAAAATCTGTGCTCCCTTCTTGCGGATCCCTATGTTCAAGATTATGGTTTCTGGCGGCATATAATGGCGACAACTATTTGGGAAACTCCAACCACCCCCGGCCTCAACAGGATAAGGATTGTAATGCTAGGGCTTAGGAGCTAAGAGGGACTATATGGGGCTTAATAAGGCCCGATAGTGTTCTAAATCTGGGGTGGGTACCTCTGATGAAAATATTATTCCAACCCTCGGCATAACCCACCTGACCCTAATCTCAAAATCCTGAACCCTGGACCCTGGACCCTAAACCCTAAACTCAGGACTGCTGAGGTACTCAAACCAAACCTCTGCCAACTCCCTCGACACTAAGACAATTACCCAACACTGAAAGCGGATTTAGTCAGCAAGAATGGAACATACATACATACATACATACATACATACATACCTAGGGTTTAGGCTTCAGGGTTTGGGCCTAGGCGTAATCCCCAAACCCCAACCAGTAGGCAACAGAGGGTTAGTTCTGCTAGTAGTTTCCATGTTCTTGCCAATGGTTCTGTTAATCATATGCCCCTAGATATCCCCTATAGACCCCCACTCAAACGGTAGTCTCAATCCTTCCCACTGTCCCATAACCCCTCAATCTTTCCATCCCAAGCTATTTTTGCCCCGCACCTCCGGCAACAGCATCTCGGCTCCAGTTGGGCCGGTGATCATCACCTAAAGTCTTTCTTCCCATGGGCACAGGGATCTTCACAGAGGTGACTAAAGGAAGCAGAAACTGCAATGTCTGTTCATAGGCCCCAGGCGTATTTCTACTACTCATGATAGTACTTGGAGGGTCAGGGGGACTTACTAAGTAGGTTAATGACCCCTATAACCCAAATAGTAACCCTACTTATTCCCCTTATTAACCTACTTACTAAGTCCCCCCACCCTCCGTAAGCCACTACTCAAGAAGAAGCACAGGCACCATGACAAACCCAACGCAACGTTCAGCAGAACAGTTCGCTTCAGACCACGTCCACAAACCTGGAATACTCAGCTCTATGTTAGGTGGACCCCCCACCCAGTAATAGTGACTATGAGGGATAATAGGGATTATATTAGGTTCCTCTTACATTCGTATTATACCACTATTACAGGGTGGGGGGTCCTCCTAAGCTCTATGCCTCAAACACATACTACAGGAGCCCAAAAAAGTACAATATCATCTTGAGGTCTGGTTGCGGTACCTTCTACTAACACTATACAAATAGTACAGGAGCATAATACTAGCATGTTTTTGAGGACTACTATATGGTAGTTTCCATAAATAGGGGGCCAACATAAGCCCCCCAAATACAAGAATCCTTGCTCTGGCGACACCCAAAATGGTACCTCAATTTGGGGAAACCCCCATTTGTTCACCCCTACTAACCACCAGTCGGACTGACCACAGGCCTTTCTGAAAACAACCCTACTAGTTCTCACAAGGGCTGCAAGTGACGCCAATGACCTACAGCTTTATGGGTTATGCTTACTAATAAGGGGGCCTAGTGCTAAACTTTAGGTAATCGGAGTCAAAGGATTAAACGCCCAAAAAACCCAGTTCTCATTAGATCATTCTTTTAATTCTTTCTTATACGTAGGAAGTGTTAACCTCAACCCCCACGTACATACCCTGACGATAGCGGCTAAGGATAATGCTAACCTAAACCCTTAACCCAACCCATGACCCCAAGCTACTGGTTCTTGACCCGGAATCAAGGAAGATAACCCCTTGAAGATGTATAGGGATAACAGAAAAGCATACGGAAATTCGTATTTTGGGTTTAGGATTAGTCAGGAATAAGGGAATATTTTCCCTGCATCATGTATTCCCTTATTCCCTACAAAGCCTCAGCAACAGTAAACTAACACAGGCCTGATAACACGATATCTGGCGGGTAGAGTCCGCCTTAAGTAGATAGAATATGGGGTATATGGGGATCTTTTTCTCATATGCCCAAAACCATATTCTATCTACTTAAAGGGGACTATAATTATGTGATTGCTCCGGGGCTACTATGAGAATGGATCCCTTCTCCCAGTCGCTGAGGCACGAAATCTCCATTGGGACTGCTGCCAAGGCTTGGGTTACTCCCCCACCCATTTCTGGTGGTATACTAGGAATATGAGGGTATCCCAAAATTAGGGTACCCTATTGGGGGTCCCCATAATAAGGAATATAATATATTAGGGATTGGGGTTCCCCTATTTTGGGAAACTACCATATACCCTGATAGAATTACCATTGCCTGTTGTGGGCACTATTAGTAGGTGGGGGCCAAAACTGATATAAGGCGCTATTCCCCATTCCCCTCAAAGACCGTAACAAAAACAAGGATGCTGCTAAACCCTAAATAGTAGTTTCCTTGTTTCTATTTTCCATTATCCCAATATAACCCCAAACCCTAAACCCCAAATCCCCTCAAACCCCTAATTCTATGTACTTAAGGGGGATATAGCCCTGATACAACCCTATCTACTTAAGGGATGCTGAGCCGCATCATCACCCACGCTCAGGTCGCAGATGTGGTTGGAGCACACACCGCGGTAGACCTCACGGTTTAGGGTTTAGGTTTTAGGGTTTGGGGTTTAGGGTTTTCATGTTCAAAACTTGTCCATCCCGATGCAAACTAAAACACCATAGGCCCTTTGACATCCTTTCTTGGCACTGATCTGCCATCATTGCGGAGTTAACCCTCAACCCTGTCCTTGCCTTCATCCTTAGTCCTTCCAACCTGGCTTTGTAGGCGGTATATAGGGATAATGTAAAATCAAATGGAATCTACAGGGATTACAGGGTTATATAGGGATATATAGGGGTTATATAGGGTTTAGGGTTTAGGATGTAAGGTTTAGGCATAGTATGTTGAACGGGATAATATTATATTGGGATAATGGTCCTGGACCCTCAACCCTGTGCGGCCGGTGATTTGCAGGGCTGGACTCCTGTAGCAAAAGTAGTTTCCATCTTCTTTTCCTTTATCCCTTTATAATCCCTATATTCCCCCCATATTACTATATTCCCCCTATAGTACCCCTAGATTACTCCAAATTAGAAGATTCCTAATTAAAAGAACCTACGTTCACTTCTCTCCTGCGGCGCCCTAGACATCGGAGGTTTCAAATGTGTTTTCCTTCCCCAGCAAGTTTGGCGCCCAGCTTCTATGGGGGAACCCTAAGCCTGAATGAGCATGAGCCCAAAAAACCTAAAGCCTAAGACCCAAAGTCCTTCCTTCAAAGCACTGCACTAAGGCCGTTGCTCTCCTATACTATGACTTACTACAGCTCCCAACATAGACCCCAAATCATGAATCCTAAGCCCCAAGTCCTAAACCCTCAAGTGGAAGCATGTGCTGGACTTGCCTTGTTGTCCGGGAAGGCAGTGCCGGCCTTGTCTGGCTTGTCCTGCAGTAGTAACATCATAGTCCCCCTTAAGTAGATAGACCATGGCTTTGGGTATACTATAAAAAGGTCCCCACATACCCCATGTTCTATCTACTTAAGGGGGACTATAGCCACTTACCATGAGTTGTATTGAGCAAAGCTGGACGAGTTTGTGTATAAGCCACAGTGTAAGGTGAGGTGGGTAATCATGATTTTTTCAATTTACTGGGGGTGGAAACCATGGGTTCCTATACCTACAGCACCTACACACCCTTATACTACCCCCCTTTAAGTTCCCACCTGATTATGCTTGTTCAGTGAGAAGCCCTAAACCCTGCAGGACAACTAAAGATAATTGAGTGAGACCCTGGTAGGGCATTACGGGGTGTGGTAAGGGAACCACTGAGGAAAAGAAAATGGCAACCAGCATCTTGTTTAGTGTTTAGGGCCGTTGGTAGGGGCGGAAGTATTGGAATTTCAGATGAAAAGCGGGGGTCATAACTGGGGAACGTGGATGAATGATGAGACTAGGGCTTTGGATGAATTTCAATAGGGGTATGGAGGGTTTGGGGCCAAACCGTTTTCAATGGCGAAAAAATGGAATGCAAAAGAAACTGTGATAACATGCCGGATTTTCATGGAGATTCTATGTAGGGACACGGGGTCACTATTCAGGCCTTTAAATTACCTGATGAACCCTGTGAGCCGTTCTAGTCATAGTTAGGGTTTAGGGCCAAGAATTTTGGGTGTAGGGCTAGCCTAGAAAGTTATTAAGATGTATTTTCGGGCTCAGCTCTTAGGGTTCATGGTTGTGCTATGTCCTCCAGATGTGAGCCTAATCTGACTAGCACAAGGTGCTTTAGGAACAAGCGGTCTGCTAGGAGGTCTTTGGCAGCCCCAAAGAACACCATGAGAGCCATATGAAAGTCCGAGTGTCCCTATTTCGATGATAGGGATTGCTAAAAAAACCCTAAACCCTAAATCCCGAACCCTTATATAACCCTACACCCTAAACCCCCCAAACCCTGGACCCCAAACAGCCTGTAGGGTGGGGGGTCTCAGGAGCTGCAGGATTGGCGCGAAAGCTTCCAAGAGCGCAGGCCAACGCGGAATACGACAAAACAAAAAAAGTTCAGGGGCGTCTAAGCCCTAAGCCCTAAACTCTAAATCCTAAGTCAGGACTTGTAGGTTTCAAGAGGTTTGCACTATTTCGGCAGCGAATGGCATGATATTGGGGATAACGGCTGGACTTTAGGCTCAATGATCTAAGTGTGGCAATTAGATGGCATTGGGTGTAGGGATCTTCGCTTTGAAATGAGGATTGATTGCGTACAGCTGCTGCGGCAATAGTGTCGGACCTCTGCATGGGCTGAGGCTTTGTGAGTTGCGGTTAATAAAAGGGTTTTATTGGGAACCCCCAACAAGGAACCCCAAGAATATAGTAGGAATATAGTAGAGGACCCTGGTAAGCATATCAATATTATATTCCTACTATATTCTTGGGGTTCCCTGTTTGGGGTTCCCAGTTCCCGGTGGAGCTTAAGAGTTCCTATGATCAACATGGCTGAGAAATAACGACGGGAATGCAGGAATGTCGAAACTCTTATTGCCACAGGCCCCAAAATTAATTCCAACAAACAAGTCACATTTATTCCACGCGCTACTCTGCCAATGCTACTGACAAACAAACTGCTCTGTCCTTAAACCCGTAACAAGAACTCCACCACATCTTGTCGAAGTATGTCCGCTAAGACACTGACACGGAACCGCAAGTATGATGTGGATAGCTATCAAAAAGATTTGTGCTTATGCTGGGGAACTTACATTACATGAAGTTATCAGAATGTGGAGATACACCAAGAAGGATCTTTCCCTGAGTTCCTTAGCAGCGACCCAGATGATGGACTCTTTGGGCTACCGTTTCATGCCTTTTTGGGTTTAAGGTTTATAGGGTTTAGTATTTGAGGGTTCCATCTTGTCGGAAGACAGAAGTGAAATGGAAAGATCATTAACCGTACTTACATCATATGGACTTTCAGGGAAGGGAAAACAACTACAACTGGAAGCTGCTATACCATTTAAATTTACATGTGATGAGATTGTCAGCAAACCCCTTCCTACAACTCTGAACCCAAAACCCTAAACCAACTGTCGCCCCACTGACTTGCCCTAAACCCTTAACTCTAGAACCCTCAAACTTACTTGCTCCGAGTACGGAATATGGCAATATATTATGAACAGGGGTTGTATAAGGACTAGAATCCCTTCTTCCCTACTAACCACCACTAAGTTAAACCTTCAAAGCCTTCCCTCTTGCAGCAGTCCTCTCCAACCTCGCGGTTGGTATGTTTACCGTCAACCTGGTCATTCTTAGGGCATCCTACTTGGAGCTTCTGGGAGATTATGGCAAGAAGCATTCGTTGATTGATGATGAGGACCATACTGGTTTTGGTTTTGGGTATTTGGGTCCTGCCCCCATTCATTAAGAGTCTATAATAGGGGTCATATAAGGGCTCTGTATAAATATATTTTAGATACCCAAGCAACTACGGCAAGATGTAATAGCTGGCTTATGAATACCAGCAACTCGTTACAAGTATACCGACCCCAAACCTCCAAATATCCTAAGCCCTAAACCCTATGCCATACCCTCGAGCTTTTAGGGTTCAGTGTCCTGGGTCACTATGTTCCAAGTGAGGACAAGATTACCCAGGCGAAGTTAGAGCCAGAGACCTGGTGCTTACATACAGCCCAGAGAAGATGACCTAAGATGGATGGCTTATAATTCCCCTTAAGTAGACAGAATATAGGGTAGATGGGGATCCTATTCTACTTTACCCAAATCCATATTCTACCTACTTAAGGAGGACTCTAGGTGCTAGGCAGGCTACACACCAGGAGGTCAGCAATCACATTCCTCCTTCCCAAGCCACAAAGCTGGAGGGCTTTGGGATGCGCTGGCATTTTGGGACACCGGGCTTGGGTTGTAAGAAGTTTGGCGTGCTTACAGAAGGTTTTGGTCAGGCTCCAGCGCCCCAATATACGGTAATCCCTACAATAGAGACTTTCAAGGAGGGGCACCTGATTTTGGGAAACCTCCCCTCAGGGAGCTAGCAATGAGGGAATATCTGCGCGCATCAGTCTGCATGAGGTCTAGTCTAAGGTCAACACACCCGAAACCCTAAAAATCCGGAGTCTAGAGCTCGTTTAGGGCTTAGGTTTGGGGGATTTTGGGGTTTAGGGGCGCTTGGGGGATCATAGGGACTTAGCAAGTGTAGTTCTAACCCTTCAAGCCATGCAGTGACCACAGGCATCCCACTTATTTACCTACTTACTAAGCCCCCTGACCCTAAACCCCAAATACTATGGTAGTTTACATGTTTTCCATTTTTAACCTAACTTACTAAGTCTTTAAGTAGGGGTATGGAGTCTCATCTCAGGTCAAGGGATTCAAGGCTCGTAAGGGCGGATGTGCCCTCTTTACCCTGAACTTGGGTCGATCCCCCACCCAGTTGTAAGTATATTAGCTATTAACTCCTCTAGGTGCTTTTACTGTAGGGAGGAATGACGTGACCCTGAACCCTGAACTCCCTAGACCTTGGGTACTGCTTCCACCCAGTAGCAGTCTATGATAAGGCTACTATGAAGGGCTATATACAACTACACTATAATCATTATCCAGCTGCTGCTGGGTGGGGGGGGGCAGTACACAAGCGAACCCTAAACCCCAGAACCTAAATAGTAGTTTCCATCATATTTTCCATTTTCCCTAAACCCTAAACCCTAAACCCAAAATAACCCCAAGGTAACCCCTATATTGGGTGGCGCTCTGGCCGGGACCGGTGTCCTGCGGCGTCCTATAGGCTTACGTGCCCCTCCCCTGCTAGCTCCAGAGAGCCCGATACCCCTTACTTAAGGGACATACCCTAAATGGTACCAGGGTCCCTAACATGAACTAAGCTATAGTCCTTGATTAAGGGGTATTGGGCTCCCTGGATCACGGAGGCTTGAAGGAAGTTAAACATGACATACTACCTGGGTCTAATTGCTCTGTAGAGCTACCAGTAGCTTAAGATTGAAAGGTTTAAGGTTTAGGGTTCCTGCCAATATCCGGGTTACCTGGAGCCAAAGCCATGGCAGCAATCTGCGCCCTGAAGCATGAATCATGAACCCAAACCCTTAACTTACTGGTTCTAAGTAGGGAAAATAATCCCTAGATAGAATATTCCCTCATTCTCGACTAGCCTGCGTAAGTTAATGCCGGCGGGGTCCGAGTAAGACTTGTTCATATCTGACCCCGGATCAACAAACAAAGGCAGAACCCCTGAACCCCCGGACGATGATGTGAGATTCTATTGAGCCATCCCCTTCTGAGTAGTACAAAATGCTAGGAACAAATACACATGACAATGTATGTATACTACGTCCACTCATAATATCGACAAGTGTTGTAATGGCAACTCTTCAAATCAAACCCTGCCTCAACCACGCGCTTCACGCAAAGGGAGACTGTCTTGGAGGTCTCGTCGTCGCCCACGGCGGAGGAAGCGATGGAGTAGAGGCGGATCCTAACCGAGTTGGATAGTGGGAGGTGTCCAAAATGGCGGGGGGGGCCCTTTATGCAAATTGGTCGAACAAGATGGAAAGGGAAACCTACTCTCTCTGAATAACCCCTGTAACCGTCTTGAGAGCTCACATAGAGCTTTTTAGGATAAGAGTGATGTCAGGCCAACGCTTAAATGGACTCCTCCAATAGCTTAATACTTAATAAAGGTTTGGTGACCCACTTCAAGCTACCAGCACACCTCTACATATGTTGTGTAATACAGGGGTCTACACCATTACCTATTTTACATGATTTTGAAGTTTGCTTCAGGTGCCCTAAAGCGTGATTATGAGGCACCTGGAGCCATACCTAAACCCTAGATAAGCCATAGTCTTAACTCCTAAAAGGGGGTTCATATAGGGGATTACCTAGGGGACTACTATATGGGGCTATAAAGGGGGATGCTAGGAGTTTAGACTATAGCTCATATAAACCCTAAACCCAAACCCTAAGGCCATAGTATTGGTAGTGGATTATTTAGACTCCTGTGGTACTTGGAACCCATGACGCTGTGATCTGTTGTTGCCCAAGGATCCTGGCCGGAGTCTCGCCCTTCTTGTCAGGTCCTCCAAACGCGGTTTACGGTTTTAGGGTTTAGCCCACTACCCAGTGGGTCCAGGCACCAAAACGTTGTGTACCTGGGGTTTGGGAAATAGATTTTTTGGTACAGGCTCCGGGGAATTATATGGTTTCTCCAGAGGGTACTGTAATGTCCCAAATATGCTGATGTTGGATCTGGTGGGAGCCGGTGTTTCGCAGTATGGTGTGCCCATCTAGCCTGCGGAGCGTGAGAAAAAGTAAGCCATACGATCCGGGGGAGTGTGTATTACCATAGCGGTTTAGGGTTTAGGGTTTCAGATTTAAGGTTGATGCCGCAAATCCGTATGGCATGGCAATTCTAAGTTATTCAGCCCGGACTGGCTCTCATTTCCACCATTACCTCGCAGGCCGAGGTTTTGGATGCCCATCATTCCCAGAATTAGGGGTAATTACCATTTTAGGGGTCCCAATAAGAAGGACTATAATATCTTGGGGTCTATATTGTGGTCCCCTTGTTTTGAGAAAGCTATGTCACGTGATGAAGGTCGATGAAGTGCAGCATGCCTTCTGGATAATCTCACCCGTTGGGGCTCTCAACATTGTGGGTCTCCTTGGGACCCCAAGCACATCGTTTCAGGAAAATTGGTTTATGGCTTAGGGTTTAGGGTTGGTTTAGGGTTTAGGGCTTAGGAAAGTACAGGAGTGGCCTGTTGAACTGCGGCGGGACACGTTTGAGAAACTCTTTTCATCACACAGGCTTTCTCATCGTGCCTTGTGCATGGGTGGTTGTCAAAATTATGGTCCCTTTTTGGATCCCTATGATAATACGGCTCTAGTATTCAGGGTACCCAAGAAGGGATCACAATTTTGACAACCACTCGCATGAATGTGTGTTTTGCTTCATTCCTGTACATGTCCTGAACCCAGATATCGCGTTGAAACGCCTTTCCAGCAAGGTCACAGTGATCTGCTTCCACCCCCTCACTCGTCCCCACAATGAAGTACAAGACAGACCTGCTTGGTTAATCCAGGGGATCTACATCACCTTGCACACTTTTTTCTCGGCCCAGCTTCAAAAAAAAACCGAAGTGCTTGAATGCGCACTTGCTGAAACTTCTTAGGAAATCCTTGAAGAGCCTCGAGAAGCCGCTTATCCAATGTCCAGTAAAATCCCCAAGCCAAGTCTCTTCAACAACGCCCGAATGGGGTCCTGGAGCAATCACGCCAATGGACTGACCCTCGATGTATGGCACGTTGCCGCCGTGGTCGAAGGTGACCTAGGCAGATTGCTGGGGACTATGGCTGTGCCTCTGAAGGCTTCCAGGGGCACGCGCCTGGCTAGTTACAAGAAACGGCTCTCACAGCCAAAGGGAAAAAGGGGGCTCCAGTTCGCAGTGACCGGCCAGCCCCATAGCTTGAATTACGGCTCATTTGCTTGTAGATCGCCGGCAGGGAAAAGGCTCCTGTCCACTGCCCCCGAGCCTACAACTATGATGGACATTCCAAGCATTCTGGGGAGCCGAATATGCGCGTCCGGGAGCTCATCAAAGCAAGCTTGGTTTTTAGGGTTTCCATCTGCGCTAGATAGCTATGATGGAACTTTTCTTCTCGCCCTGCGCTGCAGGTCACCTAGAACCTTAGCAGCGTGTCACTGATAGGCCCACCTGCAATCTGAAGGAACTAAGTGTGTCCACTTCAGTGGCCCCCCAAATAGTAGCTTCCATTTCCTTTTCCATTATCCCTAGATGGCCCCTTTCTAACCCGATATAATCCCCATATAATTGCCAGTTTTCTGCATTAGCAAGCTGGGTCTTCAGACCATGGTTAGAATCCGCACTGCGGTTGAAGCGCGTGATGGACACGCGCTGGGGTGCTCTCTAATCTACCACTCGCAAGGTAGATATGCCATGCTAAGGTAGGTGCAAGAAACCATTCATCACTCGATCTCAGCATCGACCAGGGGCCTAAATAAGTAAACAGGGTTTGGGGCTTATTATGCTACATGACTTGTAACGGAAAATTATCGGTAGTTAGCCAGGCTTTTACATGAACTCCCGCATATAAAAGGTGGCGCGAGATGTCACCCCCTCCACGGCAGCGACCTGGATGGACAACCTCCACCTCACTCTCTCTCTCTCTCTCTCATGGACAACCTCCACCTGAACCCTGAAACCCTAGAGCCTAAATTCCAAACCCTAAATCTTAAATCCCAGAACCCCCAAAGCCACCAAGTCACGTGGGTGGTCTCCCAGTTGGCATCACCAGTGTCCTGAACAAGGGGCAGCCCCAGAACTTCAACGATCTCGAATGCACAGTCCACTGAAACTAAGCCCACGCTCATCGACATAAGCAACAGCTAGGTCCGTGAAGAGCGAGGGTTTTGAGTCAAAGCAGAAAATCAGCAGGTAGAGAAACTCTAGAAGCCCAAGTACCCAGAGAATTGCCAGAGAATTGTTAAATGTTCCGTAGTTTGTTATAACAATACAAAAACACTAAACCGCGGTGACTGGGCTTTGCGCCAACTCGGGCCCCCAAGCCAAACAATGGTATCCCAGAACCCCGTCGGATGCCACGGAAATTGGCTGAATGCACTATCAGCCCAAACTGTACCCTAAAACATGAAAGCCCCAAACTCTCAAGCTCCTTAAACACTGAACCAACCACAAAGCCGGAGTCTTGAGATATCACACCGTCGGATCTCCAAGGTTGTGCATTATAAGCTAAGACATCTGTGCCAGCTCACACAGTCACCAAACTACTGACACACCTTCAATTACCTCTCTGTTCATCTTCTTGCTGGGTGCAGGGAAGTGCGGGAGTGTATATAAGGACTGTAGAATGCGCGACGCTATTGTAGGGATCCACTCCCCCATCACCAGTAAAGTCTTCGCGGCAATCCCACAAGCATGGGTAGTCGTGAGACCCGACCTATGTTCAGAAATTTGCCTTTTATCTAACGCCCAGGACCACTTTTTGCATAAGTTGTATCACCAGCAAACAAGGCCACCTCTCATGAGTATGCTCAGGGCTTGCCTTCATGAATGACCCAATGTGCCGTGTTGAAACATGTTTTCTTGAAGCAGACCCTTAACGAGGGGTCTCACTTGCGGCAGCTATCCATGCCAGCGTTATGGCATCGTCAGACCGAAAAGCACGAAAAGAACCCCGCAGAGCTTTCAGGTCATTCATGCGCGTGTAAACCTACGAGCGCGTCCTCAGTGAGCGTCTGCGGGTGCTTCTGATTCGGGACCACCTGACAATTTGACAGTTGCAAGGAGACCCCCTTATCTTATACACGCCATATACCCTCTACTACTAGATACCCTAAACCCTAAACCCGATACCCTACTGTATATACCCTGAACCCCCATATTGGATGCATTGATGCAACTGCTGCTTCTGGCAAAAAAAAACGCAGCCTGGCAGCCCCTAAACTTCCCTAAACGCTATAATCCCCCTCAAGTAGATAGAATATGGGGTATAATTATGGACATCTTATGATAACATACTCAAAGCCATATTCTATCTACGTAAGGGGGACTATAAGTCATAAACCACTTCTCCTCGCAACCTTCTAGGAGGCCATCATACTCACAGGCTCCATGTTTCCAATACTCCACTTCTTCTAGTAGCAACCCCTGCCCCCTTGCAATATTCTTGGGGAGGTGTTCCTTGTTAGGGGATCCATTATCAAGGGGAGTGGGGTGTGGATTGCTTCAATTCCTTAGGCTTTGGTAAGAATAATTGCAGTACATGCTCTGGGAAGGTAATTTATCATTGGGCACTTGGACCTTCAGGGACTGACCGATCCAACCCTAAACCCTAAACCATTCATGGCCTGAGATCACCGGGCTTCGAGGCTACACACGTCGCGATGTGACATTGAGCCCAGTTTACCCTAAGCCCTGAGCCAGGGTAATTTAGAATAATTTCAACTCCAAATTTCAGGACATGTAACGGCCATTTTGGTACTATTCCCTATATTTATATAACCACCAATTAGGGTGAGGTCGGGTGAGATCGCCTTAAAATGCACAGCTAAGACGCCCTTAAAACCTAAACCCTCACACCCTTGACCGCGCGTAGCGCTTGGGTTTGGGGGTTACGTGAACTGAAAACAAAGGCTTGAAGTAGCAGAACACTGCGTGCTGCTGACATGAGCCCTGTCTAGCAGTTGATGGTTTAAGGTTTGGGGTACAGTTGCGTAAAAACATGACCAAGGTGAGTAGGGCGAAGCATGCAGTACTAAAGTACGACTTTCAACTACTCTCTCTCCCTCTCTGCCAGCATGCAGAAGGCCAAGAGACCCCCCCGCCGCAGTCCCACTTTCAGCTACTGCTATCATAACTCTCTCTTACTACGTAATATGATGCCTAGCATAACTATGTTCTTACCTTGCCGTCATGAATTATAAGCTGACACCAAGGTAAGTTGACAGAAATGGCATGTACACTAGCTATCTTGGTGAAGTGAACCTACACAAACCACAAGTCTTCAGCAAGGTTAAGGGTTTAGGGTTCATTGTTGAAGTTAAGGGTTTGAGTCCAGGACTGAAAGCTTAGCAAGTAATTAGCCGTAGCCATATCATACTATATGAGCTATAGTCCAGACTCCTAGTATCTCCCTTAATAAGCCCTATAGTAGTCCCCTATATATTCCCTTATATGTCCCCGGAGTTTAGACTATAGCTCATATAGACATAACTTTCTTGTACCTATGCAGTACAGGCTTCCTCAATCAGTATGAGCGCCCAGAACTCGTAAGACCCTGAGTCCCGAAAGCTTACGTCTAAACCCTCCATCCCCAAAACCTAAACCCCTACCCCTGATCCTACCCTAAACCCCTAGCCATCATCCTACCCTAAACCCTCATCCTACCCTAAAGCCCTACACCTTAATCCTACCCTAAACCCGAAAGCCTTCTCCCCCCCCCCCCACTCACCCACGTGTGGCCTTCGCCTTGTAGGGTGCCTTGGGGGTGAAGAGATTCCAGGGGATCTCCTTGCCATGGATCACCTGCAGCTCCATTCACACAGCCTTTATCTGAGGTTTTGGGGATTAAGGTTTAGGGTTTAGGGTTTGGGGTACAGTAACCCTAAACCACAACTAAACCCTAAACCCTAAGCGTAAGGGTTTTATATGTTTAGCTTGTGGGGATGGGGGCTTCAGGTTTCTAGGGCTGAAGGTTTCGGGCCTGGGCTTGTGGCTAAGCAAGGGCTTAGGTTTTCGGAGCAGGCGTGCATGAAATTGGGGGGGGGAAGGGGGGGGTGCTGATTTCAGTGTCATCTGGCGAGGTTTTCCTAAACGTTAAGACGCTAAGTCCTAAATCACAGGCATCGCAGCCACAAACCCACAACCCTAAACCCTATATACCCTCCCATAACCCCTTTAAAGTAAACCCACACCGTGGGAACAAGCAGCTGCCAGCCTTCACGCCCTTCTTCTTGACAGCCGCTGCCCGGCAAACTGTGACGGCAGCCTCAAGGGTTAGGGTTTTAGTGTTTAGGGTTTTAGGGTCTATAGGGATAGCATCTAGTTTTTGACCATGTCCCTAATTTAAAGCAGGACTTACCCGCATCTACCCCAACTCCTTACACATCCTTTTGGCAATGACCTTCAAAATCGGATCCCCGTGTGTAGGAAACCCCATGCACCTGGAGGGGTATATACCAACAGCTTACCCTTCATTACCCTAAATTTAGGGTTTGAGGGTTTAGGAAAAACCCTGCACCCTAAGCCCTGAACCCTGAACCCTGGTGTTGGGGTTTAGGGTTTAGGACCGTGGGCCTGTCGGGTTTGAGGTTCATTCGCTGTCAGGGTTGCAATTTCTTACTACAGAAGCACTTCCGAAGGCTACTCATGTAAAATACCCTCCCCAACCCCCAGTATGAGATACAACCCCACCTCATACATATATATATATATATTATAGGGGACTATATTCAAGAGTAGAGGGGCGGTGGGGTATTCAGTATTAGTATGAGGGGTACTTTTTCCTCATCTGACCTCTGTGTCACCCCGTGTAAAAGTTCAACACTGGCCCCAGTGTCTGAACTAGGCTCGTCACTTCGGAAACCTCAAAGCCAGTACCAACTTGCTACGTGCTAACCCAGGCCCCTGATTGATAAACCCCTCCCCTTAATAAGGATTATAATAGGGATCCTATTATTAAATCATGGGTCTACACTACAGTATCAACTGATACCCCATACAACTTTGACACATTGAACATGAGAAATCCCTGGAGATGGTCGACGGGGCCCGCGCTCAACTTGTTA